ATATATATATATTGCGTAAGCTGTAAAGCTAAAGTGTATATGGCGATAAAATAGCTCCAGAGCTATTAAATATAGCATTAGCTCCCAATCAAATTTACATTTATATATATATATATAGTGATATATGGTGTTAGCTACAAAGCTAATTAGTATAGCATTAGCTCCTGTTAAAATATAGACTATATATTATGAAATGAGGTGTTAGCTCCAGAGCTAATAAGTATAGTGTTACTGCTTGAGTTTTTGTTGTGGTCACTGACAGTCATTCACAACACATCCCTATCAGCTCATGCAAGATCACATACAGATGGCAAATTATATTATTTCCGAGTTTTGACCAAAATACTTCAACACTTCTCACTAAAAGATGATCTTCACCTTTAACTGTGGTTTGAAAGGAAGCGTGGTTCGAGGAATGCCAGGCCTTTAACGTGAAAGCAACATTTCATTTCCTTAATGCACGGTGGTGTTTCCTGCACCATCAATCTTTTCTGTTGGACAGGCAGTAAATGAAGGGGGAGGTGGACGTGACACGTGTCGGCCAAGCTGATGGCAGGTGTCTGATGCGTAAACGGAGACGGTGGAGGAGAGGAGAGGGGCAACAGGTGGAAGGAGGGAGACAGGTGCTCTGGGAGGAGTAAGGGGGTGTATTTAAGGAGCCGTTGTCCACATCCTCCCACATCAGCAAGCTCCTGTCTTTGTTCCTCATCCTCAGGCCAGCAGCTCGTCTCCACTCAGGTAAGAACGATGAGGAGGATGTACAATTCTGACATTTTCTGACTGGTAAATGCTTATTCATACGATGGTACAACGTGTTCATGTCATTAATCCGAAAAAAGCTCTAAAACCTCAATTTGTCTTATTTCCTGAGCAGCAGTGGAAAAACTTCTGTTCATGTTTCATCTGCTGATTTGTGCCATCAAGAAACAAAATAAGATGTTAGCTCAGTAAGTAAAAGTCCTCTCAGTTTAAAGGGTTAAAGTTGAACTTGTCTCCGGTGTTTGTTCGTTAGAAACTAAAGTCAAAGCCAGATCCAGTTGCCTTGGACTTGTTCTGGTTGTTCCAGGTTAGAGTTTCACCCCTATCATCTGGCTCAGGTGTCCATTAGCTGCTGCTAGAGGTCCACACAGAGGGGCCGAGATCAAACCGTGGGGATCAGTTTATCCAATCTCATCAGGATGGCTGACAGGGATGGAAAACTCCACGTTAGGCGACAGAATTAACATTTATCTGAGGCTGGGGTTCCAACTTGGAAGATGTTTTATTTATAAACAGAAGATTCTGCAGGGGTGGTTCTAGGGGAGGGGCCACTGGGGCATTGACCCCTGCCTGAAATCTGATTGGCCCCCTGAAGTGCCCATGTCCTGTCGCTCATCTTTCCTTCACTGCAAAAACTGTCCATCTTACCAAGTTTTAAAACCTTATATCAGCCAAAAAGTCTTTTTGATCTTGTTTTCAGACTGATTTACTAAACAAGAACTGATTGTGTAAGAATAATCATCTTGTTTTCAGAATGTGTAAGATTATTTGTCTTGTTAGTCTGAAAATTTGACTCTAATTAAGTCAAACATTTCTGCCAGTGGAGTAAGAACATTTTACTTGGTAAGATTCTTGAAATACTTGATTTGACTCAATTTTTTCTTATTTCAAGAATCAAGCGCCTCTAGTGTTTAGACACTTAAACACTAGAGGCGCTATAGAGCATTCTTGAAAATAGAAAAAATTGAATCAAATCAAGTATTTCAAGAGTCTTACCAAGTAAAATTTTCTTACTCCACTGGCAGAAATGTTTGACTTAATTAGAGTCAAATTTTCAGACTAACTAGACAAATAATCTTACACATTCTGAAAACAAGATGGTTATTCTTACAC